AAAAAAAAAAAAAAAAAAAAAAGTCTTCTAAGAACTCATATGAGCTCCGGGGCAGAGTTCGCCAGATTTCTTGAGTTGGTTGAGAATCAAGTCTTAGGAATTCTTTTTCCAAAGAACTGTGGTATGAAAGAGGGAATCGTGGGCAACCCCCCCGGGTCCCCTCCCACTGTGGAAGCTTTTCTGTCCTCTTAATAAATCCTGCTTTCAAAAAAAAAAGAGGGAGTCATGAACCGGGTTCGATTGGCAACATTCCCGCGCCTGGTACATTCCAAGGCCACGCTGCCCCAGAGTGTCTTTCTCACTCTCTCATGGTGTGTCCTTAAATACCAGACGTATGTAGGATTGGATCAAGGAAGGAAGCCCCATCAAAGCTTGGCTGGGTCATTCCCTCCATGCCTGACAAGGCCACAGCTTCTGGCACTCCTGGGCCACACCCCCGGGGAGGGGGCGGGGGAGCAGGGAGTGCTGGGATGGGGGGGCCGGAGCTCTCCCACACCGACCTTGCCGGTGGACTTGACCCCCTTCCAGATGCAGAAGTAGCAGATGATCCAGGCCAGCAGGAGACACAGGGCCAGCTCCCAGCGCAGGGCGCCCAGGTGCTGGATGCCATCCGAGATCTTCAGGACCCGCCGCCTGGGGAGAGAAGGGTTGAGCCTGGCTTGCTCGTCCCGCCAGCCTCGGGTCTGAACGAAACCTACCTGCCTGGGCCAGCAGACCCCTGGCTCCAGGTTCGCCCCAAAGGCTCACCAGCTCCCTTCGCTGGGGTCTGAGAGGCTATCCTCGCCTAGGGGTAGAGGCAGATACAAAGGCTGACCAATGTGAACTTTCCGGGTGAGTTTGCTGTGAGTACTGTTAACCCCAGGGAAAGAGAGGTATTTTCTCCACCAGGGTCTTACAATGTGGGTGTTTTTGTTTTGAAACAGGGTCTCACTCTATTGCCCAGGCTGGAGAGCACTGGCATGATCACAGCTCACTGCAGCCTGAAACTCCTGGGCCCAAGCGATCCTTCCTCCTCAGTCTCCCGAGTAGCTGGGACGACAGGCACACACCACCGTGCCCGGCTATTTTTTCTATTTTTTTGTAGAAAAGAGGTCTTGCTGTGTTGTCCAGGCTGGTCTTGATCTCCTTGACTCAAGCAATCCTCCCGCCTCAGCCTCCCAAAGTAGGGGGATTACAGGCATGAGCCACCACACTCGGCCACAGGATGTTTTGATACTAGGAATCAGGCTCGGGGAGGAAATATTCAGGGGCTGGGTGAGCGGGCACACACACAGAGTGGCAGAGGAAGAAGTCAGAAATGTGGCCTGTATGCACGCATACCCTACAAGATTCTCATCTCTGAAACCGGCCCTGCAGTAACTACAAATACAGGCACAGCAGAGAAAAAGCCACTCGGGTGACAGGGCCAGCAAAGAAGGAAGGGGAAGGACTTCCCTTGTTGGCCGCCGAGTCACCATGTCGACCCCACCCCATGTCCTTCTTCTGAACAGGCGGCCGCCTCGCCGTGGGAAGGGAAGGAGGGCCTCACTTACTCCCAGAACTCGATGACAGGGGAGGTGGCGTTCTCAGCGGTTCCATTCAGGGAGCCGTTGGTCTTCTGGAACTCTACGCAGTGTTCTACCGATGGGAAGTTTTGCCGAGGGGAAAGGAGAGAGAGAAAGTCATCAGTTAGCCGGGCTCGGTGGCTCAGCCTGTCATCCCGCGCCTTTGGGAGGCTGAGGTGAGTGGATGGCCTGAGCCCGCGGGTTCGAGACCCACCTGGGCGGCGAGACCTCATCTCTACAATGAATCAAAAAATCAGCCGGGCGTGGTAGCGCGTGCCTGTAATTCCGGCTGCTCGGAAGGCTGAGGCGGAAGGATCGCCGGAGCCCAGCGGGTCGAGGCTGCGGTGGCCGGGAGCGGCCACTGCACTCCAGTCTGGGCGACAGAGTGAGACTCCAACTCAAAAAAAAAAAAAAAAAATCATCAGTCGACCATTCGGCACAACTAGAGAGAGGGGCGGAACTTCAGGAGAACCGGAAGGAAGGTATTTGGAAGGCACCAGGCTAACATGGGTGGAAAACGTCCTCACACACCCCAAAACCTCAACAAATCCACCCCATCCTCCCTCGCACGTGTTGACGTGTGGGTTTATGGAGGCCCGAGAACATGTTCTCACCGAGGCCTGAGCAGATGGCATCAGGAAAGACGCTCTGCCTGCCAGCTGCCTCAAAGCATGCTAATATTTCTAGATAGCAGTCCTGTGGAAAGTCACAGCCCTTGAGGGGTTCTTATATCTTCTGCGGAAGTGACACGGCAGAGTGCCTCTTAAGCACAGGTCCAGACAGGTAGAGGTCAGACGGCCCTGGCTCGAATTCCAAACCTCTGGCTGTTAACTGTGGAGCCTTGGGTAAGTTATGAGTCAGCTCGCTACGTTTCACTTCCCTCATCTGTCAAATGTGGGGAAGAATATCCATCGTGCAGGATGGATCGGCGGAGTTAAATGAAAATATGAATGTGAGAAGTGTGCAGCAAATGGTTGCTCTTGATTATCTGTATGTCACTCTGGAGTTTTACCAACAGTGCTGACATTCTTTTCCGCTTAGGTATTTATTTATTTATGATGAGTTCCTGCTCTGTCGCCCAGGCTGGAGTGCTGTGGCACAATCATGGCTCACCGCAGCCTTGACCTCCTGGGCTCGGGCGATCCTCCTGCCTCAGCCTCCTGAGTAGCTGGTACTACAGGCGTGTGTGTGCTCCCATACTTGGCTAATTTTTAATTTTGTTTTCATGAGTTGGCACCACGCTCTGTTGCCCAGGCTGGAGTACAGTGGCGTTCTCACGGCCACTGCAGCCTTGACCTGCTGGGCTCAGGCAATCCTTCCACCTCAGCCTTCCAAGTAGCTGGAACTACAGGTGTGTGCCACCCTGCCCGGCTGGTTTTTTTATTTATTGTAGAGACGAGGTCTCACCAAGTTACCCGGGCTGGTCTCGAACCCCTGAGCTCAGGCAGTCCTCTCGCCTCAGCCTCCCAAAGTGCTGGGATTCCAGGTGTGAGCCACTGCGCCTGGTATTTTTAAAATTTTTTGTAGAGACAAGATCTCACTATGGTGCCCAAGCTGGTCTCGAGTTCCCAGGTTCAAGTGATCCTCCTGCCTCAGTTTCTCAAAGTACTGGGATTACAGGTGTGAGCCACCACACCTGTCCACTTTTTAAAATATTTAATTGGTACAATTTTCCTGGGCAATATTAAGACAGATACGATTTCTTTTTTGTGGTTGTGGTTGTAGGAGTTTCCCTCTGTCACCCAGGCTGGAGTGCAGTGGCATGATCATAGCTCACTGCAGCCTTGAACTCCTAGGCTCAAAGGATCTTCCTGCCTCAGCCTCCCAAAGTGCCAGGATTACAGATGTGAGCCACTGCACCTGGCTAATTTTTGTTTTTATTTTTAGAGTTGAGGTCTCGCTATGTTGCCCAGGCTGGTCTTGAACTCCTGGCCTTAAGCAATCCTCCCGCCTCAGCCTCCCAGAGTGCTGGGATTACAGGTGTGAGCCACCGCTCCTGGCCCATATCACTGCTCTCTAACATGACACATTCTTCTCATTTATATTGCTTATGTCTGTCTCCTGGCACTAGAATGAAAGCTCCAAGAGAGCAAGATCTCTGCGTTTGTGCATCACCATGTCCTCAGGGCTTAGAACGGAACCTGGCATACAGCAGGTGCTCAGAAAATATCTGTCGCATGATTGGAGGGTGGTTGAGTGCTGTCTCCCCCGAGCCACATTGCTTTCCTTGAAGTGACACACGCCCAGGAAAGTGTATTTCATCTTGATGGGAAAGGATGTCTTATGCTATTCAAATGCTGAACTCTGAGTAAGACCAGACGCACTACAAGAGATGTCAAAATGTCAGAAAACAAAAGACTCAGGTATTCAGTTTGCCTCAGAATTTTCTGAGACCCCAAGCGACCCAAAGGCATATCGGCCTAGTAATGCCCCGAGGCAAAAGCTCCAAGTCACCAAAAACTGACAAAATGTTTTCAAGAGGAACTCCTCTGAGATCTGGGTAAAATCTTCTCTGTCTGACAAGTTGGTTGTCAAGGGTGATTGCAGTGCACACAGATGTAAAAAATAAGGAAAAGAAAATACATAAAATGCCAGGCACAGAGAGTCATACCTGGAATCCCAGCACTTTGGGAGGCGGAGGTGAGAGGATTGCCTGAGACTAGGGGTTCAAGACCAGCCTGGAGCCGGGCTCGGTGGCTCAGCCTGTCATCCCGCGCCTTTGGGAGGCTGAGGTGAGTGGGTTGCCTGAGCCCGCGGGTTTGAGACCCGCCTGGGCAGGCGCGACCTCATCTCTACACTAAAATCAAAAAATTAACCGGGCGTGGTAGCACACGCCTATAATTCCGGCTACTCGGAAGGCTGAGGCGGAAGGATCGCCGGAGCCCAGCAGGTCGAGGCTGCGGTGGCCAGGAGTGGCCACTGCACTCCAGTCTGGGTGACAGAGTGAGAGACCAACTCAAAAAAAAAAAAAAAACCAGCCCGGGCAACTTGGCGAGACCTTGTCTCAACAGTAAATTTAAAAAATCAGCCAGGTGTGGTGGCACATGCCTGTGGTACCAGCTACTTGGAAGGCTGAGGCGGAAGGATCACCTGAGCCCTGTAGGTCAAGGCTGCAGTGGCCATGAGCATACTACTGCACTCCAGCCTGGGCAACAGAGTGAGAGCCTGACTCAAGGATAAAAAATACTACGCTAAACATACAAAAGTGTTCTTCCCTGGCAAGCAAAGGACTCGAACTCCAGTTCAGAACTGAGTAACTTATCTGAGCAAGAGAGAAGTAATCGTGGCTATCCCACACCCAAGGGGTAGGGCCTGCGTGACAGGTGCTGAGAGAAATTTGCACAATGAGAGCAAGAATTGTGCTGAGAATCCAAACAGAACAGTGTCCCCTGTGCCCTCTACCATGCTACCCAGTAGGATAGTCACTGGCCACATGTGGCTACTTAAATTAAAATTCAGCACAAATTAATCAGGCATGTGCTTGTAGTTCCAGCTACTTGGGAGGCTGAGGTGGAAGGACTGCCTGAGCCCAGGAGTTTGAGGCTGTGGTGGCTGTGAGCGTGCTGCTGCACTCCAGCCTGGGCAACAGAGTGAGACTCTGACTCAAAACACAGGCAAACAAAAAATCAACACAAAGTTTAACCTTCTGTTCCTAAGAGGCCACATTTCAAGTTCTCCATAACCACATGTCAGAGTCACTCTGTTCCGGTTCAGTGGGGCTGCCCATTAAAACATAAATAAATAGGCCAGGCTCGGTGGCTCAGCCTGTCATCCCAGCATTTTGGGAGGCCCAGGCAAGAGGATTACCTGAGCCCACGGGTTTGAGACCAGCCCGGGCGAGACCTCATCTCTACAATGAATAAAAAATAAATAAATAAATACAAACAAGTAAGGAAACAACCACATGTAGCTAATAGCTACTATACTGCAGAGCATTCGTGCAGAGCATGAAACTGCCATTGTAAAAACACTTTCATAAAATTAATAAAAGGCCACAGGTGAGAATTGTGATGGGGCCAAATTCTGTTATGTCCTGACCCCAAGCGCTGGAGACGGGGGAGAGGGTTGCCCGAAAGGTTCATGAGCTTGTTCTCTCTCTCTCTCTCTTTTTGAGTTGGAGTCTCACTCCGTCGCCCAGACTGGAGTGCAGTGGCATGTTCACGGCCCCCCCAGCGTCAACCTGCTGGGCTCCGGCAATCCTTCCACCTTGGCCTTGTACGTAGCCAGAGCTGCAGGCTACAGGCGAGCACTACCATGCCCGGCTTATTTTTTGATTTATCGTAGAGACGAGGTCTCGCCAAGTTGCCTGGGCTGGTCTCGAACCCGCAGGTTCAGGCAATCCACTCACCTCGGCCTCCCAAAGTGCTGGGATGACAGGCTGAGCCATGGGCTTGTTGTCTCCTAAAGAACAGTGAGCTCTTGGGTCAAGCTGACCTCCCGGGTGGCACCCAGACGCTGGCATAGGCCAGAGGGCAACGGATGCGAGTGGCTTGGCCCGCCCTCCCACATCCCTTCCATAGTAAGCCACCTTTGCTCACAAGCCCTGTGACCGCACCGATAGATAACACGAGCCTAAGAATGATCTTTGAGATATTTTGCAGACTTTGCACTCTGGTGGACCCACACCAAGAAACGCCCTCAACCAGTCTTCTGCCCGCCCGCGCTCGAAGCCAGTTTCGATAACTTTGTGACCCCATCCTCGACCAGTCAGCAGTGCCCATTTCCTACTTCCCTGCTGCCAAATTGTTCCTTAAAAAACCTTAGCCTGAAATCCTCAGAGAGGTGAGTTTGAGAAATATCTCCCATCCGCCTCGCTCAGATTCTTTGCAATCATTAAAAATCTTTAAACTCTTCTCTTTTGCGACACTGCTATCTCAGGACGTGGGCCCTTTTCTGGGCAGAGGGCCTAAGAACCCATCAGACTTTAGCAAGGACATTTTCGCCGTCACAGAAAGTTCTTTTGGACAGCACTACCCTAGGTGTTTTTGCTGTTGTTGTTGTTTCTTTTTTGTGGGGGGTTGGAGTCTCACTCTGTCACCCAGGCTGGAGTGCAGCCTCGACCTGCCGGGCTCTGGCGATCCTTCCACCTCAGCCTTCCGAGTAGCCGGAACTACAGGCGCGCGCTACCACGCCCGGCTAATTTTTGATTTATTGTAGAGATGAGGGCTCACCAAGTTGCCCAGGCGGGTCTCGAACCTGCGGGCTCAGGCAATCCACTCACCTCAGCCTCCCAAAGGCGTGGGATTACAGGCTGAGCCACCGAGCCCAGCTTGTTGTTGTTTCAATACATTAGATTCAATGATTCGGTTGCCATGGGTGGCTTATGTAGTCTTATGGGCACAGGAGAAATCACTTTTCAGCCAACAATGGGGCACATATAAAGACAGTGGTCCCATAAGATTATATTACTGTATTTTCACTATGCCTTTTCTTTTCTTTTTTTCTTTTTTTTTTTTGAGCCAGAGTCTCACTCTGTCGCCCAGGCTGAAGGACAGTGGCACGCTCACGGCCACTGCAGCCTCGACCTGCCGGGATCAGCCAATCCTTCCACCTCAGCCTTCCAAGTAGCTGGAACGATAGTTACGCACCCCCATGCCCAGCTAATTTTTGATTTATTGTAGATATGCGGTCTCGCCATGTTGCTCAGGCTGGTCTCAAACCCGTGGGCTCAGGCAATCCTCTCGCCTCAGCCTCCCAAAGTGCTGGGATGATAGGTGTGAGCCACCGTGCCCGGACTTCACTGTGCCTTTTCTATGTGTAGAGATGTTTAGATAAACAAATCCTTACCCCTGTGCTGCAATTACCTACAGTGTTCAGCATAGTCACGGGCCGCACGGGTTTGTAGGTAGGCTGTACCCTAAGCCCCAGGTGTGCAGCAGACTGTCTCATCCAAGTGAATAAGTCCCTCCAGGATGCTCGCAGAATGATACTATTGCCTAATGGTGCATTTCTCAGAAAGCATCCCTGTCGTTAAATGGCACGTGGCTGTCATTGCTGTGGCAGATCGCATGGGGCCTTCGGACAACGTGGATCTGAGCTTCGTGGGCCCACTTGCCTGCAGATTTTCTCCCCCTTCTGCCGTCCCTGAGACAGCAAGACTGACCTCTCTTCCTCAGCCCATGCAACACGAAGACAAGGAGGAAGACCTGTATGGAGACCTGCTTCCACTCAATGAATAGTAAATATATTTTCTCTTCCTTAAGATTTTCTTTTTGTTTGTTTGTTTTTTGTTTGTTTGTTTGTTTGAGTTGGAGTCTCACCCTGTCGCCCAGACTGGAGTGCAGTGGCCGCTCCCGGCCACCGCAGCCTCGACCTGCTGGCTCCAGCGATCCTTCCGCCTCAGCCTTCCAAGGAGCTGGAAGTACAGGCGCGCGCTACCACGCCCCACTGATTTTTTCATTCATTGTAGAGATGAGGTCTCGCCAAGTTGCCCAGGCGGGTCTCGAACTCGCGGGCTCAGGCAATCCACTCACCTCGGCCTCCCAAAGCACTGGGATGACAGGCTAAGCCACTGAGCCCGGTATGATTTTCTTACTAATGTATTCTTTTCTCTGACTTCATTATTGCACAAATACAGTACATGATACAAATAACATGCAAAATATGTGTTAGTGGTTTATGTTATCAGTAAGGTTTCTGGTCAACAGGAGGCCAGTTGTAGTTAAGTTTTGGGGGAATTTGGTCAGGTGTAGTGGCTCAGCCTGTCATCCCAGCACTTTGGGAGGCCGAGGCGAGAGGATTGCCTGAGCCTGGGGGTTTGAGACCAGCCTGGGCAACATGGCGAGATCTCGTCTCTACAATAAATCAAAAAATTAGCTGGATGTGGTAACACACGCCTGTAGTTCTGGCTACTTGGAAGGCTGAGGCAGAAGGATCGCCTGAGTTCTACAGGTCAAGGCCAGGATGGCCATGAGCGTGCCACTGCACTCCAGCCTGGGCGACAGAGTGAGATTTCAACTCAAAAAAACCAAAACAACAACAAAAAAGTTTTGGTGGAGCTAAAAGTTGCACGCACAGTTTCAACTGCACACTAATCCCAGTGTTGATCAAGTGTCAGTTGTATATTGATGACATAACAAAACAGCTCATTCCTTAAGTCTGTACATTTGCAAGATCTAAAATGGTTTCTCTCAGTCATGCCAGCTCTAGCATGTCTCTCTTTCCTCTTTTCTTTTCCTAATAAACTTTGTTTAATAAATAAATAAATAAATAAACAAACAAAAGGAGACCAGGCATTGTGGCTCACACCTATAAACCCAGCAATTTGGGAGGATGAGGTGAGAGAACTGCCTGAGCCCACGGGTTTGAGACCCGCCTGGGCAATTGGTGAGACCTCATCTCTAAATAAATCATAAAATTAGCTGGGCTTGGTGGCATGTGCCTGTGGTCCCAGCTACTTGGAAGGCTGAGGTGGAAGGATCACCTGAGCCCAGCAGGGCAAGGCTGCAGTGGCCATGAGCATGTCACTGCACCCTAGTCTGGGTGACAGAGTGAGACTCTGACTCAAAAGTAAAATAAAACAAAATGGCAAATTCTCGGTCAGGTGTGGGGGCTTACACCTGTCATCCTGGCACTTTGGGAGGCCAAGATGATAGGATTGTATGAGTCCAGGGGCTTGAGACCAGCCTGGGCAACTTGGCAAGACCTCATCTTTACTATAAATCAAAAAATTAGCTAGGTGTGGTGGCGCGTGCCTATCATTCCAGCTACTTGGAAGGCTGAGACAGAAGGATCACCTGAGCCCAGCAGATTGAGGTTGCGGTGGCCGGGAGCGTGCCACTGCACTCCAGGAAAGACCTAAAACAGTATTACTCGACCCATTTATCAGGCTGTCTGCATTTCAAATGGATTTAAGTAAACAACATAAAAACAAAGGCCGTTCTATTTGCGTCATGCATGAATTGAGTACTTCAATTTCCTTTTCGAAAAATAAGAAGCCTGTGGTGCTGGCAATCTCTTGCTCTTATGCTGAGCGTAAGACGTCCATGATCCACTTGGCCAATTTCTTTTTTTTTTTTTTGATTTGGAGTCTCACTGTGTTGCTCAGGCTGGAGTGCAGTGGCATGCTCCCGGCCACCGCAGCCTCGACCTGCTGGGCTCAGGCGATTCTTCCGCCTCAGCCTTCCGAGTAGCTGGAAATCCAGGCACGCGCCACCACGCCTGGCTAATTTTTGATTGAGTGTAGACACGAGGTCTCACCAAGTTGCCCAGGCTGGTCTCAAAACCTTGGGCTCAGACAATCCTCTCGCCTCGGCCTCCCAAAGTGCTGGGATGATAGGCGTGAGCCACCACGCTCGGCCTACCTGGCCGATTTCCGACGTGTCCTGTGTTAGGTCTGGGGGAAGGGGTGCCTGGGACAGAGGGACGGGCTGCCTTCCGGTTCGTGTGGCAGGCAGGAGGGGGACGCGGCCCTCCGAGATGGCCTCACCTGTGTTCCACTCGTGGCGGCAGCTGCCCCAGGGAAGGTCGAAGGTGAAGCTGCTGAAGAGGTAGAAGAGCGCCCAGGCCAGGACCACGATGTAGTAGAAGTTGAGGAGGATGACGATTACCTGGGAGGCGTAGCCGATGCCTGGGGAAGACTGCGGGATTGGGCGAGGGACGGGACGGCGCTCCCGCACGCCGCCCGGCCCTGTCTGGGAGAGGGTTTGCTCTCCACCGCCCGCATCCTAAAACAAGAAGGGCCGGGGCTTCTGGCTCTCTCCTCTCCCATCCCATCACCCCAGAATGTGCGGCCTGGGGTCCAGCAGCCTTTCGGGTCAGAGGCAACCTCCTGTCTCCTGCTGTGTATGCCTGCTAACGTGCACTTGCATCTTGATTCGGTTCTGAAAGCCCACCGATTCAGTTATTTGAGAGGGCCAGGCATGGTGGCCCCCGTCTGTAATCCCAACACGCTGGGAAGCTGAGGCCGAAGGACCGCTTGAGGCCAGGAGTTCAAGACCTGCCTGGGCAACATAGCAAGCTCTCGTCTCTACAAAAAAAAAAAAAGCATAAAAAATTATCTGGACGTGGTGATGTGCACCTGTAGCCCCAGCTACTCAGGAGGCTGAGGCAGTGAGCCCAGGAGATCGAGACCGCAGTGAGCCGCGATCATGCCGCTGCACTCCAGCCTGGGCAACAGAGTGAGCCCCTGACTCAAAAAACAAAAACAAGTTATTTTTAAAACGTGTAAGACTATAACTAAGATACCCATAGCTAATGTTCCCAAAATTAGTCTGACATATTTCTGAAATATAAAAATACAAGTTAAGAGCAGTGACAGACAGTTCATACAGAAGAAAACACAAAGGGTGAATAAACATCCTTAAAATATATTCACCTTCCTAATAATTGCAGTTGTGCAAAATGGAACACTAACAGGGTACCATACCGCCCCATAACCTTAGTGAAAATTTTCACAAATGATATAGCTCGGTGGTTTCCAAACATGTCTGAATATTAGAAGTACTTGGGGATGGTTACAAACTTCCAAAACCCAGGCCAGACCATTTAAATTCCAATCTCTGGGAACAGCGCGCAGGCCACAAGTCATTTTAAAGGTCCCCGGTGATTTCAATGTGAAGACAAGTTTGGGAACTGCTGACAGGACCCAGAGTTGTTAGAGACATGGAAAAAATTGGCTACTCATGTCTAGTGACTTTTTTTTTTTTTGAGTTGGAGTCTCACTCTGTTGCCCAGCTGGAGTGCAGTGGTAGGCTCACGGCCACCGCAGCCTCGACCTGCTGGGCTCCGGCGATCCTTCCGCCTCGGCCTTCCAAGGAGCCAGAACTACAGGCACGCAGTACCACGCCTGACTAATTTTTATTTATTGATTGTAGAGACAAGGTCTCGCCAGGTTGCCCAGGTGGGTCTCAAACCCGCAGGCTCAGGCGATCCGCTCAAAGTGCTGGGATGACAGGCTGAGCCACTGAGCCCGGTCTCTAGTGACTTTTAAGTCAGTATAACACTTCCACAGGACAATGTAATAAATCAGGTCAAGAGCCATCAACTTGATTACCCATTTACTCCAACAATCCTACTCCTGGCAATTTATCCCAGAGAGATAATTCCAAGGGGGGATGGGGTTGGTAGGTGAGGGAAACTGCCAGGGGAGAGGGGCACAGCTCATCAACAAGGGCACCTGCATAACGAACGTTTGTATACCTAGCCCTGAATTGTACCCCATATCTTTAGAATAAAAATAAAAAGATGGGCTCGGTGGCTCAGCCTGTAATCCCGCGCCTTGGGAGGCTGAGGTGAGTGGATTGCCTGAGCCCGCGGGTTCGAGACCTGCCTGGGCAGCAAGACCTCATCTCTACAATAAATCAAAAAATCAGCCGGGCATGGTAGCGCACGCCTGTAATTCCGGCTACTCGGAAGGCTGAGGC